TTAAAATGATATTGCCAATATTGTTGAGTTGCGCTCCTGGGACGACTTTACTTATAAGATAGTTCATTCGATTACATGAAATCAACTTTAACTTGAGAATATCCGTCAGAAAAAAATCATAGCATGTAATTCGTCTTTAAAAAGACAAACACATGACATGATGACAGTAAAATTCTCCTGTTAGTGATTCCATAGTAAATTATGAGGGAAAAACCAGGAAAAAAACCTCATAATACTATCCCGACATTGTAAGTATTTGTTCGTGAATTTAGTTTACCTTCAACAAACATCAAAATTCTGATTTTATATGTTACGTTATTTAAAAAACATAAATGATGTATCCTCTATATGTTACTGACTTACTAATACTGGTATTTTCTTATTAATAACTTCCTCTTTCAATATTGGTAACCAGATCCTACTACATTCTGCCGAGGAATTTGCGACACAATTGGCCTCATTTAGCATAATTAGAGCCGCTTCTTTGATTTTTCTTTTTTTACTATCCGTTTCTTTTAGGACTACATTTGAATTATTCCATTGAACCCTATGTTCATTATCCCATGCGTGTTTACAGATTTGAGATCTATCAAATTCTCTATTTTTAATATAAGATTGATGTTCACTTATTCTAATATTTAATGGCCTTGATGATTCACCTAAATAAAACTGATCGCATTCACAAGGTATTTATAAATGCAATTCTTTGTCCTTTCTTGTTCATTGTTAGGTTTGGTTTTGGACAAAATAGATCTCAACGTGTTTGTTGTTTTGAATGTTGTTGAAATGTTGAATTCATTTCCTATCCTTTTAAGTTTTTCTGATAGTCCTTTTATGTACGGTATTGTTATTTTCCTCATATTATTCCTTGTGTATGCTGTAGTATCTCGTTCTAAGTTGTTCTGTTCTATTCGATCGATTGTTGAAAATTCCTTATTTATAAGGGAATAATTAAATCCTTATACGATAGAGCCAAAATTACTTGTTCTAACGAAAATTCGTTTTTGGAGGAGAAACATTTGTTAACATCTGATTTATTAAAAAATGATTATCCTTTATCGTTTATAAATAAGGAATTTTTAACAATCGATCTAGTAAAACAGAACAACTTATAACGGATCCTACAGCATACACAAGGAATAATATGAGGAAAATAACAATACCGTACATAAAAGGACTATCAGAAAAACTTAAAAGGATAGGAAATAAATTCAACCTATTCAAGCCTATTATATTATTAAGTTAGATTCATGAAATGTAATTTTTAAATAAGTATATAATTTTTTTCCTCGTAAATCTATTTGATAAAAGCTTGCACTGTTTCTCTCAGATTCTTAATAAATCTGTGTTTAATTAACTGTATTTAATAAAGCTAATATAAAATCTGCTTGTCGATGTTGTAATCGTGCTGACAATTTTTTGACAATTATTGTAAATTTAAGTTATTAAGCCTATTCAAATTAATATTTCTGTTGAATTCTCTATTGAAATAATCCATTCAATAAATTGAAATATTATATTACATTTAAAAGTAAATTATTCAAGCTCATTTATTTTTGAATAAGAAACCAAATACTGCTCTCGAGGATCGGCATTCTGAGACGCGACGTATTCAGAAAAGTCGAATAAGGTTGCTAGATTTCTAGTGAATGATGAAAGACGTAATAGGCATATACGTTCTGTAATATAATTTGTTTTTCGGTTTATTCTCGACGTATAAAATTACAAAATTCAACGGGGGATTTCATTTATATAACAGTAGGGGTTCAAGATATAGGGAACGTGGGTACTTCAGATGGGGTGTAAAAGTATGTTGAGTTTTTGGTTTTTATGTCGATATGAGGTATAAACGTCACGGCAAAAGTATGATTAAAATGGTAAAAAATAAAATAGTCCAGGTGGAATTTGTTGAAAAGCAGATCATAATTTGCAGACCTAATTTTAAAAGCAGTCATTGATACTAGGTTGCCAGTCAAAAAATGACCGCAAATATTTTTAATTCAATTAATAGTAATTAATTTTTTAACAAAAATTTTATTTTGTTCATTTATTTTTTAAATAAAATACGCTGCTCATGACGTATACGCATGTATTTTTATATCAAATTAAAGCGTATTTTTTCTTAATATAATGATATAAGGTTAACTGAGAAAAAATGGTCGCAAATTAGAGTTGCCAGCTGTTAAAAACGCGAGGTATTAAAGATAAAGTAAGAGACAGCTAGCGTGCAACGATACTGGTTTCAAGTATCAGTTGTGTGAGTTTTTCAACGAGTATATGGAGAAGTCATGATCATATTTACGTATGTATTAAAAGCGGCGTCAGAAAGTGTAGTAAACGATAATACAAATATGACGGTGGGATCATGGCCGGATTAAATAATATTAAAACTACTAAACAATTATGAATAGTTATTCAGAAGGTTTAAACGTAATCTAAAAAAGTGCAATAATTTTTTAATAAACTATGATTAACTTAATCAAAATTAAAAGTGTTGCCATTGGGCAGCTATTAAATTCACTCACTGCGCAAGTATAAGAAATGTAGGAAACACATTGATTAAAACGTAGCAACACAAGATATACATTGATTAAAAGTGTAGCGTAATAAATGCCACAATTAGGCTATGGGAGAGGTCTAAAGGATTCCCCACATCAACGCGAAACTTTTAAGACGCGAATTTTCCGTTGCGGAAAATTCGCACGCGGAGCGGTAGCGGACAAGGCTTACCCACATTGGCGCGAAACCCGACGCGACTGTTCGCCATACAAATGTGAACAAATTATATTTTTAGTCTTTTATTCGTAACTTACAAATACATAATGACTTCTGATGAAGAAGAAGCTCTTCTACTATTGGCACTTGCCGAAACGGAAAAAAACAGGTAGCTCCAGAAGCATTGACATCTACTCCGTATGAGTACAAGAAACCAATTGGCTAAGGATTTCTGCTTAGTTGAGGAGACATGTCGTGGAATGCAAATTTTATTTAACATCTTTATCAACGTCTGTTTACCTTGCAATTTTTAGAAAGTTCAGAATAAAGCAGAAATCTGAATTGGTTTCGAAAACTTTTTTACGAATTTATTATCAGATGTCGCTATTGCGTCCATATCGAAGCCATTTTAATGTTGCTTCTTAAAGACAGAAAAGATTTATTTTTCACGTTGAGAACGAATATGAATGGCTGTTCTGATGAGGCCTATTAGGCCGAAATGCGTATAAACAGATACATAGACGCTTTGTACGTGAAATCTAACGGATCTACTCTGTATGAGTACAAGAAACCAATTCGCTAAGGATTTCTGCTTAGTTGAGGAGACATGTCGTGGAATGCAAATTTTAGATTCCTCATGTCTCTTTTAACATCTTTATCAACGTCTGTTTACCTTGCAATTTTTAGAAGGTTCAGATTAAAGCAGAAATCTGAATTGGTTTCGAAAACTATTTAACGGATTTATATATTTTTTAGTTGAAGTGGAAGATTTCTACAATAATAGAGATTCGGATTCAGATCTTATAGAAAATGGGGAGAGTTTTATGCAAGAGAAAGAGAGAGAGAGAGAGAGAGAGAGAGAGAGAGAGAGCGGAAATGAATTGTGCACGATGAGATTTTAGAGGGTACAAATGAGATCCAGGCTGAAAATTTATCCAGGAACGAAATAAGTGGTATGAAAATTATTCCTTTTATGGGAACAAATAAACTATAAGTTTAATCTTCTAGTGACGAACCATATGACTGGTTTATGATGCTAATCGATGATGCATTTTTTGGAAACTGTAGTGAGTGAATGTAATAACTATGCCATTCAAGGACTGGCTAGTAGTAAAGGATCTGTACGATCGAGAATCACCGAATGGAAAGAACTGACAGTAAAAGAGTTTCTTGTGTTCTTAGGATTAACTTTACATACTGGTACTGTCAAACTTTCTGAGTTACAAGATTACTGGAAAAAACACAGACTATTAACAACTTGTTTTTCAAACTACATTAGTAGAGACAGGTATTTATTAATTATGCGTTGTCTTCATTTTTGTACAACATGGATAGACCTGTATTAGAACATTTCAACAATGTGATAAAGAAAGTTTACTATTCTAATAGACAACTTTCGTTAAATGAGTCGATGTCTTGTGAAAAGGAAACTTATCTTCAAACAATATCTTCCAAATAAGCGCCACAAATATCGAATCAAACTCTATCTGTTGACGGAACCCATGGTGAACGACTTTACGGTGGTACAAGAAATTAGGAATCCACGTTTTCCAAATGATAATGATTAATTCACATATATTATATAATAAGTATCACGTTCAATGAGTCTTGGTAAATTTAGAACGTCAGTTTTAGACAGGTTGTTACCAGAACCCAAATCAGTAGGGCGACTGATAGAGCAACTAATTGGCGACCATTATTTCTCAAACAACCATATATTATTATGATATTGAAAAAAATGAGCTGTAATTTGATATAAAAAACATGCATATACGTCATGAGTAGCCTATTTTATTTAAATAATAAATGAACAATAAATGAATAAAGGGGAAAGTAGGATCTTGTACTATTAGTAATGTAAGTTTTTTTGTAAAGTAATTTTATAATGCAATTTTCTATTTTTATTGGAAATAAGCCACAATTGTATTTTAAAACTAAGGTTATTTGACATTTACATTTTCACTTGGAAAATCGTTCTTAAAATACAAAATATTTATGTTAAATTAATGTGAAAACATTAATGAATGTTATAGTGTATAAAGTAGGTATTGTCCACTGTTACATGATATATCCTACATACAAACTTTTGTGAGCTATTCCGCTTTCGCTATCTAAAAAGATCAATATTCATTTAATTTTTGCTTCTGTAAAGACGTTTTCTCAACAACCTGCTTTTTCTTAGCTTATAGAATTTTGTAATATTTCCTGATTGTGAATTTTATTTGAGTGATTGACGCTATAGTATTCTAAGAAAAAACTAAAAATTTTTATAATCAAAAACTGACCTTATTAACGTTTCCAGTGTGGATTGTCTAAGGAGGCAACATTGAAGTACTGGTGCCAAAATGGTCAGTTCGTCATGATATGGTTTGCCAAACCCCCTTCCGTGATCCAAATGTAACGTAAATGTTTCATTTCCAAAAATTCTGTAAAGAAATATGTAATAATAAACTTATAATAATCGTTAAATATTTAAAGGTGAATATTTAGTTGTACAATAATTATTAACATAAAAACTAAACAATCTACAATAATTTGTGAAAAAACTGTGTTTTTATTTAATTTATATTTTGAAAATAAGAATATTATATTTATATTATTAATACAAATTTAAACAAAAAGTTATTACGGAGTTCGGCTCTGAATGAGCCACCGAAAGGCGTGTTTAATTTGGTCTCAACAAATTAGCAAATTTTATGCAGTAATTATTAATAGTTAAGGGACAATTATATGAAATAACAGTAAGTGAACACATCATATTAGTTGTGATTAATATACCGTGATAAATCAGTTTTTGGTTGATTTGTAACTTAACAAGCCATCAATACGATACGACCAATGATTCATTTATTTCAGTTTTATTGCCCATTTAATAACTGCTCAGGTCCATATTATTTTTGAACATATGTGTCGTTTTAAAATCTAAAATGAAACCAAACATTTCTAGTCTCTCTTAACACATCACATGTATGGCCATTAAAGACAAATAGCGATAAAACCTATTCATCAACAACTGCAAAATTAAGCAATTGTCTTAACACTTTAGAAAATACGCGACTGCAAGATTACTTAATTCCTTTGGATAACCTATTCATCCCCAAAAACTATTATATTTTCCTCTCAACTATCTAATAATCGAATTTGCATGTGCCAAACAAACAAATCGTGGATGAATTCATGCAAAACCATGGCCTAATAAAAATCCAAAACAATATTGTACAAGCTAGAAGACTAATTTCACACGCGTAACGTTTTGTTTCTTCAAACGTATGTTCCACAATACCACACAGTCTGATAGTTGATTAGTTACAAAAAATTGGACTTAATATGATCCCTTCTGTTTTTTTTAAATCAATTCCAATCTTTCCGAATATAATTATTATATTTTAAGTTTTAGAACACAAGTATACATTAGTTATTACAATATCTCCTTAGCTGACTCATTCACCTTTGACTTTGATAATACAACATATCAAATATTCTATCGCCTATTATAACTGCAAAAAGTCTGAACACATCGCCACGAACTGTCGCGATAAATTGGGATTAACAACAAATTTATTTATTTCAAATAACAGTCAACCTACTACTTCTTCCTCCCGTGAAATCATGCTCCAACTTGCAGCTACATTCATATCAAATGAACAAATTTCTGTCGAAGAAAAATCAATAAATAAACTTAGCAATCCTAACATAGATAATGGTCAAGGAGAAGTTAACACCATGGACAGCTGTGAAGTAATTAATATCGATCTTCAGCCGAAACGTAGAAACAAGAAGGTTAAAAGCAACAAAGAGTATACATCCATAAAATCAACAAAATCATATGTTATCAGCATGCAAGAACCTTCTACTATAATGCAAGAGTTTATTTATGACCTACTGGGATTAGTCCATATGCTAACTTAAGTTCACTCACAATGAAAATATAAATCAACTAAACGTTATATCACCTCCTTAAGAAAGAAAATCCTCCGACACTTGGTTAACTACATCTCTCAATCCGAAGTCGAGTCAGCTCAGGTTAGCCCGTAAATTTATATTTCCGTATATAACATGATTCATTAAAATATTGCAATAAAAAAAGATGGATTTTTCCATCGACTTTCAACCATACAAAAACTGATTTCTCAATTCTCTACGAAAATAAGATGTCTCCAAGAAACAAATTTAAATCCTAAAAAAAACTGTAATTCCAAATATTTTAATATTTTTAGAAAAGACAGAGTACATGACAATAATTACTATTCAGGTGGAGTTATGATGGGCCCGACGCTATGGAATCTGGCATATGACGGGGTTATGCACTGTGAATACGGAGAGGGTACAACCCCCTTCGCATTCGAGGATGACCTAGCTGTATTGGTAGTAGCCCGGAATGAGCCAGATCTCAAATACCGGGTTCGGAACGCAGGTGGCGTCGTGGCGCAGGTGGGGAGAGTGATGCCGAACATTGGAGGACCCAAATCCGAAAGGAGGAGGGCCTTACACGGTGTTGTACAGTCTATCGTTCTCTACGCAGCACCAGTCTGGAGCGAGGCGGTAGAGATAACGGCCTATAGGAGTCTTATGAAACGAGTAGACAGAACAAGTCTGTTACGAGTGGCATGCACCTACAGGACTGTGTCTGCGGCAGCCTTATGGACCATCACTGGATGTGTTCCGTTGCATGTTTTGGCGGTGGAAAGAAAAGAGCTTTATGAGAGAAGAGGCCCAAACCTTACTGTGGCTGAGAGAAGACAGGTAAGGGAAAGGTCAGTTGAAAGATGGCAAGAAGAATGGAACAATACGGAGGATGTGGCACAGTGGACGAAAATGCTGATCCCAACATAAGAGTTTGGGTGGACTGTGACCACAGGCGATTGGATTATTTCCTGACGCAGGTGCTCACAGGACACGGGTGTTTTAGGGCCTACCTTTATAGGATCGGTAAGGCTGATACAGATGAATGCCTATATTGTGGATACTCGGACACTGTGACACATACGATGTTAGATTGCAGCAGATGGATAGTGGAAAGGAACAGAATGGAGAGAGAGACAGGTGTGAATTTTGTTACAGTGAGAGAAATGATTGAGAGAATGATTGAAAATAAATTAGGTTGGATTAACATACACAGTTATATCCGTGCAGTGATCAAAAAAAAGGAAGAGGAAGAAAGACAGCTGGACCAACGGCAAAGGTAGAGTGAATGATGCTGAAAGGTGAAGTTAGAACAGTGGGTCACACTTTTTGAGTTAGAATGCGTGAGTTTGACTGTGGGGAAGGAGGAAATGCCCTTCTGAGAATGATGCCGAACTAGGAGTGTGGATGTGTATGAATGGAGAATGAATGAATAAAGGTAGTGCTTCGGAAGTGATGCCGGCCTTACAGCGGCCATTCCGCTTCCGGATCGCTGGATGACAGAGGAGGGTCTGGTTTAGCAGGTAGGCGTTCGGCGTAGACTCGGCGACGAGAGGGCATTTTAAAGTACCTCGGGAACTATCGCCGGGAGTACGAAGAACGAATCCTGCACTAAGGTCAGTCAGGCGGCGTCCTGGACTGAGATGTCTTTTGAAGATTCTAGACCCCCCCTCTATAAAGACGAAAAAAAAAAAATAAAAAAAAAAATAAAAGGTGGAGTTATGATACTTGTCAAATATTCTTTGATTGTAAATGTTTTTCCTGTTAATAGTAACATTGAAGCTATAGTTATAGAGACTACCGCTTCCTTTCCAATTTTTATATTTACTTTCCATCTAGTTTCTCAGCTACATATGAAGATTTAAAAAGCCTTTTTGAACAGATACCCTCTCCTCGAATCATCGTAGGTGATTATAATGGTCACAACTTTATTTGGGGTTCTTGGTGTACTTATCACAAAGGAATACTTCTAGAAAAGATAATGAAGGATCTTCAATTAAATTTCCTAAATGATGGGTCACCTACAAGATTTAACATCTGCACTAAAGGATCCTCCGTGATATATTTAAGCTTGTGTGATTCAGGTCTAGCTCCACGTTTCTCTTGGACTGTTGTTGAATATACTTATGGTACTGACCATCACCCTATTACCATTGAGAATCTCTAGGGTCAGTGTTGCCCAATACATTTCTTACCCAAATGGAATATGAATTCTGATAAATGATTCTATTTTAAATATTATATAGACAAGTCTTTGGAGAATTTCATACTCAATGATTATTTAAACGATTCGTTAGGTGCTTTTAATAGTATCATCTTGCAGAGTGCGGAGCTCTTCATCGGCAAAATAAAGCTAATTAAAAATCATGTCCCTATATCTTGGTGGAATTCGTTGTATAAAGAAGCTGTAAGTACCAGCAGAACAGTTTTTAATAGATTTAGGAAGCATAAAATACTCGAAAATAAAATTAATTATAAAAAAATAAAGGCTTAAGCCTAACGTTTAATAAACCAAACAAAAAACTAGCTGTGTCCAATGGATCTTTAGCATAAAGAGCGCCACTCCCTGAGAGAAGTATGGAAGAAAATACATACAATTTCTGCCATAAAGGAGTCACTCTGAATATATAGTTTCAAAATAGGTAATTACATCGTTACAGCTCCACTTAAAATTGTTAACGCATTAGCTAAAAACTACAGACAAATATCTTTCAATGAAAATTTCGACCCTGTATTTTTGCAAAATAAACTAAACACTGAAAGGTCTAACCTTCCTTCCCTCTCTCCAATGGTGCTATAGCTCACATTAACCCTTGGCCTTCTCCAAACTATGCCTCCAACCTTGCCGGTACCGCGCCAATCTTCTCCAGGTTCTCACGTTTAGCAAATTTTTTCGCGTTCGCTGCTACGTCATCCTTCTACCTCTTTTGTGGCCTTTCTTTTGGCCTTGCGCCCTGCATTTTACTATCTAGGACTCTTTTTGGGAATCTTCCTTTTTGGGAAAGCCTCCTCTTACGTTACAAGAACTAAACAACTTACTTAACGATATAAAAGAAACAAGACCTGAGCCTGACGATATCATAACTGTTTTCTGAAAACACCTACTCACGTCAGTTAAAAATTACTTGCGTCAATTATTTAACTTCATCTGGCAATCACACCAGTACCCATCTATTTGGTCAAAATCATCATTTTTCCATCTCTCAAAAGCCAAAAAATCTCAACCCTCAAAAAACTCTCTGTATGTTATTTTATAAATCATAGTTGTTACTAACCCCTATAAATCTACCCTTCCCCCTATTTTTTTTGTATAAAGTTATTCCTAACTATAATAAAACAATTTTTAATTAAAGGTGATTACTTGGCAACATCGTACTTAACGAAGCCCTTAACGATAACTTTTCAACGAAATCGTATTGAAATTATCAATTTTGCAGAGGCGTACCAAAAAAATTTTTAATTATTTATTTAAACACATAAGAGTAATTACGTAAAAATTAAATCTAAGACCGATTTAATTATT